TCTATTCTATTCTATTCTATTCTATTCTATTCTATTCTATTCTATTCCATTCCATTCCATCCCATCCCATCCCATCCCATCCCATCCCATCCCATCCCATCCTTCTGTCATTGCCTTTGTTTCACACAGATTATTATGGAAGTGAAGAGTTAATACTAAATGATTCTCCTATATAAGCCTAAGGGATAGAATAGTAATACTACTACTCATAATGATAATAAAAAACTTGCTAATAATTGTGTTTCAAACTGTATAAAGACTTTCAAAATTTAAAAGTAGACTAATAATCTCAAATAGGAATATAAATTTAAATTTTAACTATCGATGCCAGGAAGAAAAGACTGAAAAGACTCTTTTATACAGACAACCATAGCCACAAGGCTCTATTTTCTTCAGTCTGCTGGAGTTGATTAATATAGTTGACTGATTTAGTACTTGGTAAAGCCTCTTATTTTAATAAGAAAAAGAAAGTGATTTTAATTAAACAATAAAATTATGTTAGAACATCCTAGCTCTTGGTAACTGGTCAATTCTGAGCCTATGTTATATCTGTTATTTTGGGAATAGTCTTCATACTTAACAGTTAAACGAGGATCAAACTTATGGATGACTGTAAAAAAAACAACATAGAACCCTTGTTTTGGGTTAAATGGATTTATCTGTTTGATAGTGTGCTGACCATTGTTATGTGGAAGTCAGCTTTGAAGCCAAAAACAATGAAGTTATTTTGAAATATGATACATTTTGTTCATGTATAAACCAATGCTATGGTAATGCTAAAGGAAGGCAATGGTTATTTTGTTCCTGACTATGAGTTTTACTCTCTAAAGCACAATTAGTATTTATTGTTGATAACTACAAATACGAGGCCAAGGAAATCTTCAAACACTTTGGGGTATTAGTGCCGAAACTGATGTATTGTTCCTTGCAAGTTCTAGATCTTTTAAATAGTTAGCCAGGATAAAATGATGTTCCAAACAGGAAAATACCTGATAAAAAATAGTCCTTTATCAGAGCAAGATTTGAGTTGCTGGACTCCATGATAAAGTATGGATAATTTCACTATGTGTTGTATGATGACAGAAAGTGCATCTGTTGAGCTTCAGATATAGAAGTCTTGCTTAAATATTAATTATATGCTGCAACTATATAGACAAAACAAACCTTGGACTTGAACAATAAATTGTCGTACCTCTTTTAGGGTACTAAACATGTAGACAGCAGAACTGTCAAGTTTATAGTTAAAGCTTTTTAGCTAAGAACGTGTTATAGTACATAGAACAGATCAGGGTCACATGTATACATGCATTCATTTGATATATTTTTTCTGTACTTTAGTGTATTTATCGTTCTTTTACCCCTTTGTCAGCTGGTGCATTTGTTGTGTCCTAATATGGTTAATTGACTAATAAATTATTATATTAGGAATATGCAGAACAACTTATGAAATCCCTCTCTTCAAGTCATTTAAAAAGTAGCATCATTTCTCAGGCTCTTGCAGTTGCTTCAGAAAATGTCCAATGTTCTACATTTCAACCATGGTTTGAAGGGAGGAGCTTCATATACACTTCCACATGGACTGGGACAACTTGCCATGGCCAACTCACTCTGGCCAACTCACCATGGCTAACTTGCCTTGGGACAACTCACCACAGAACAATTCAGCAAATACAAAAGTTAAAATAATTTTGATAGAACCATGGCCAATAATAATAAAATAAAATCAATTCAGAAATACAAGAGTTACAATAATTTCAATGAAAACATGGTCACCAATAATAAAAAATAACTGAATGAAACCATTAATACAGCATTGAATTGTCCTGTGGCAAGTTATTCTGTTCTATTTGGCCTTCTTAATGAAGTATAGACTTGGGGGCTTGGTAAGAATCTTTTCCTTAGCATGTTAGTTTATCAAACTGTGGCAATTGTTCCCTTTCAATCTTCATTTTAATCTAGCTCCTTCCCAGCAGCCTCCCCCCAAAGGGCAGATTGTAAATTCGTCAGCTATCAGAGTCACTTGGAATCCACCCGATTCTCCCAATTCAAATTGGCTTGCTTACAAACTGTACAGAAATGGGACTCAGATCTACACAACAGAGGACTACCATCCTTACAGTGAGTGCTCATTAATATGATATATGCCTTTATATTTGTTTACTTCAAAAGTGTTTTTAATTCATTATTCATTTTATTCTCGATTGGAGCACTGTGTTACATGTTCTTCCACATATATAATATCTTGGCTGTTGTTTTTCACACATCAAGTAAATGTAATTTCAACTTTTTCTTTGTGGGTTTTAAAGTCACATTTTCTTCTTTGACCCCAATCTATTTGCTGTTACAGCTGCATTTTTAAATCAACATGATATAAAGTATGTTATGTGTGAAGAAATTTCTAGCCTATTTATTCATTAAAAAAACTCTTGATATATTAGGCTTCTGTGTAGAAAAGCAGCTCAGATCCTAAAATGTTTACATTTTTGTCATTCAAATACCAAAGAATGATTTATAATTTTATACACCCTTGCTACTTTGCTACACATAGGATTCATACAATTAGAATTGAATATTGCCATATACTGTTTGACATAATACGCGGAGAAAATTAAAACAAAAAAGGATATTCTTAAAATTGATTAGAGTGGGAAAAGGACAAGAACTTTTCTGACTTATTGTTGCACATACAAACACACAAACATCTTCTCTAGGTTACACTGATGCCTATTGTTGCAGTAGTTTTCAATTAATATACATTTAATAAATTAATATTTGGTATATTTGTGTGTCTGTATACAATTCCATTACACACACACAGGCCTTAGCTTATCAACTATAAGTACATTTCTTTACATAACTTTTTGCAGGTTCTTAACGGTCCCAAATTAAGGGACAGTTATTCCCTGATTCACCCAATCATTCTATATTTACAGAATTACAGAATAACAGAGTTGAAAGGTCTTCTAGTTCAACTCCCTGCTTAGGCAGGAAATCCTATTCCATTTCACGAATGGTTGCCCAGTCTCTTCTTAAAAACTTCCAGTGTTGGAGCATTTACAACTTCTGGAGACAAGTTGTTCCACTGATTAATTGTTCTAACTGTCAGGAAATGTCTCCTTAGTTCTAGGTTGCTTTTCTCCTTCATTAGTTGCCATTCATTGCTTTTTGTCCTGCCTTCAGGTGCTTTGGAGAATAGGTTGACCCCCTCTTCTTTGCGGCAGCGCCTTAAATATTGAAACACTGCTATCATTTCTACTTTTATATGCTCACTCATGAAACAGCCTCATACTCTCACTTTACTGCATTTAGCCTGGGGATGAGAAGGAAAAGAGGGGGAAATTGCTTCTTGAATTCCAGGACATTGGTCAAGCTTTCCTCACTGATTCCCAGTCAGTCCCTCCGAATGTAGCAGTCCATTAGCCAATCTGCTCTGCAGATCTCTCTTTCTAATCATGCTTGCTTCTACTGAGCCATCAAGCTGCAGATTCTTCTTTCCATTGTGGCTGGATGCATAGAGGACCTCCAGCACCTCCGGTCCACACAGCACAAATATAACACTATCCATGTGCAACAGTTACTAACGGCCTCTTCCTTTGCCTAAGAGATCTGCTCTCTGCATATTTTAATCAAAAGGCAGATGTGTCCACTCCCAAGGGTCTTAATTAGGCAGGAAACATCTAGGTATTTACATGACACTTTGAATTGTGCTGGCAAATAGACAAAATTCCTAAACTTTGAGACCAATGTATAGCTCTGTACCAATAAGGACGTTTTGCCTCCCTTAGTCTTTTAGCATGTTCTGTTGGTGTCTTTTCAAGGTTCATTAGCAAAGTAAGCGGTTCCTGTTACAATGACTAAAAGTTCTTTTCTAATCATAGACTGATACCAATGATTTCTAAGGCCCAAACTGAATTTGTATATATTTATGTGGCTAGACAAATAGCCTAAGATTTTTGTCAATCATAATGATTTGAAACATTATTAAAGTGACTTAATGCTACAGAATTCTTACATTTATGGCTGCTTTCAGGATGTATATAGCATTTATATTACATTCAACCACTTAACTACCTTCATAGAACTCCTAGTTTGAATAATAGTGTGAAATTACAGATACAGAAGTCTCCAATTTGTCAAGGGAAATTATAAATTATTTTATTTATTTAACAAAATTTATATGACTGCCCAAGTCTCAGTCACTCTGGACTGCTTACAAAGATAAAAACCTGATATAAAAAGCAATAACCCCTGTCCCCCCATTGACAACAAGCAGTCATTCAATATCCTCAAAACCTTGCTTGATTATTTAATTGATAGCTTTCTAGAGTTAGAACAAAAAGCTAGAATACACATAGATACAGGTAGTCCTCAACTTACAACCACAATTGAGCCCAAAATTTATGTTGTTAAGTGACAGATGTGTTAAGTGAGTTGTGCCCCATTTTACATCCTTTCTTGCCACATTTGTTAAGTAAATCACTGAGGTTGTTAAATTAGTAACATGGTTGTTAAGCAGTGGTGAGATTCAATTTTTTTTACAACCGGTTCTGTGGGCATGGCTTGGTGGGACTAGCATGGCTTGGTGGGCGTGGCTTGGTGGGTGTGGCAGGAGAAGGATATTGTAAAATCTCCATACCCACCCCACTCCAGGGGGAAGGTTATTGCAAAATCTCCATTTCCTCCCCACCCCACTTATCTGGCTTTCTAGCTCCATTCTCCTATGCAGGGCAACAAAAGAAGACCCAGCCAATCAGCTGGGACTCGGGAGGCAGAGAATAGATGGGGGCAGGGCCAGTCAGAGGTGATATTTGCCGGTTCTCCTAGCTACTCACAGTCATGCCCCTGGTGGAGACTGACTCTGAGGAAGAGGAGGAACAGCCAACAGGGAGTGGGAGTGTGGCTCCAGAGGTGGTGGAGGAGGCTGGGGAAGGGCAGAGGCTGGCTGAGCATTCAGAGGAGGATCCAGGCCCATCCCCTATCCATTCTAGGTCACGCAGGGAGGAGAGGATCAGGGAAAAGCGAGGTCTACTCAAGAGGAGATTACCATGATCCTCCTTGTGGCTTGCAGGTTGGAGCTATGTATATAAGTTTGCAACTGCGCAGTTAGAATTTGCAGGAGTCAATTTAGTGTTCACATTGAAAGAGGTTTATATTTGCTGGCATTCTTCCCATGGACTTTTCTCGGTTATTTTCCTGGAGTTTATGATTAGTTATCTTGGCTTGCTTCGGAACTCTCATCAATGCGGTTTGTTTTGGTTTTCTGTTTGCCTCATTATTTATTTTTGTGACTTCAAACTGTGCCTAATAAAACAGTGAAGTTAAGTTGAAGGCCTTACCGGACTTTAATATATGTTTTGGGTTTTGGGTTATTTTGAGAGACTATGGGTCATCACACACAATTTCTGCTACCGGTTCTCCAGAACTGGTCAGAACCTGCTGAATACCACCTTTGTAGTTAAGTGAATCTGGTTTCCCCATTGACTTTGCTTGTCAGAAAACTGCAAAAGGGAATCACATGATCCGGGGATACTGCAACCATCATAAATATGAACCAGTTGTTAAGCATCCGAATGTGACCATGGGGATGCTTCAAACAATCATAAGTACGAAAAATGGTCATATGTCACTTTTTCAATGCTGTTGTAACTTTGAGTAGCCCTAAAGTGACTAAACAAACTCACGAATGAAGGCAGATATACATGTCCCAGGATAATGTTGCAGATCCAATCTGGGTCAGTCACTGGGATCAGATGCTTTGTCTTCCAAGTTGTCAGACTTGTGCTGGTGCCCAACCTCAGGGAACTTCTTTCTAGCCAAAAAGATGAGCTCCAGCACGAGCCATGAAAGCTTGGAAGACAAAACCTCTGGTGCCCATGACTAAACCAGATTGGATCCTGCAACTAAACAAACGGTTGCAAGTCGAGGACTATCTGTGCATTTTAAAGAAACCTTTCTCCTTTAACTCTTAATTTTTTTTAATGTTTTCATTCTGTGGGGATGTTTCTGTTGATGGAAATGCTTCCATCGCTGGAGCATTGCTAACCCTTATGCCCTGCAGTGAAGCATGGCCCTTCCAAATCTTCCCCAGAATTCCACCAATCTTCTGGAGTGGCTGCAGTGAAGTGACAAGGGATAGAGATGAAAGAGTTAGATGAGCAGAAATGCATTTGTGCACTACTGACTTTCATTCCAGTCAGACAGGTAAAAATATCCATTCCTATGAATATTGATTATCAATTATATTGAGATATAAGATAGACATTTTATGCTAGGTTAGAAGTACTACTCTGGTCATTTGCCCTTTTACAATTTATTTAATATTTTAGACCAGCATTTCTCAACCTTGGCAGCTTTATGCCATGTAGCCTTCAATTCTTTTTGAAATACACATTTCTTAAAGTTGTCAAGGTTGAGAAACATTATTTTAGGCCAACCATGTCTGCGTGAAAATAATAATAATGAGGACAGGCTTTATATCACTTCAGCAATGGCTGGCTGACACTATAAGTCACTAGTGGGAAAATGATGTCTGTCTGACTATTGGTCAACTTAGCCCAATATATCTACTTTGACTAGGCTCTTCAGAGTCTTAAAGAGAGGTTTCTTCCATGACCTGCTACCTGAATCTTTGAACTGCTAATGATTGAGCTTTTGAGTATATAAAGCAAAGCCTCTGACATTATATAATGGACTCTTCCAAGACAGTGTTGCAGAAACACTGCTGTTTGTTCAGGACAATTCTGAACTACTTGAGTTCCTTATCAAGGAAAACTGTTGGTCTAGGGGTATCAAACTCACATATTGGGACTTTTTCCCCTTCACTAAACCAGGTGTGGGCCTGGCCAGCACATGATGTATCCGGCCCGCAGGCTGGGAGTTTGGCAGCACTGGTGCAGAAAGTCTCATTTTAGGTATTAACTCCATAATGATTTAGATTAATTCCAGAAAATATTATTTATTTGTAAAAGGGAAATATCTCTTTATGACTATACGTAGTGCTGTAAACTTCACTAACATCCAATATTATATCTGACTTGCTTCAGATAATGAAAACACAAGAAAACAAAAACCAGCACAGGCACATATGAATGGACGCAGCCCTAGCAAAAGTCATTGTAATGTTAGAGATGCAACCCAAAGTAGGAGGGAGGGAATAGTTCATGGCTGCAACTTTAACAAATAGTCTAGTAAGAAACATAATGCAGATGAAATTAAATATAATGCATTTAATGCTCACAAAGTAAAAGATCTCAACATTTTATATTTTACAGTTCTACTAATGTTTATGCTAAATGGTTGAGGAGAAATTGATAGTAAAATATATCTTCCTATTAAATTAAGCTTTATGTTGATTCTTCAGTAATGATTTAAAATGCAGCATTTCAGTTTTGACAAGTAAAATGTAACACCTTTTTTTCCCTCTCAGCAAGTTTTCTCCACACAAAGCTACAGCTCCAAAAAAATTCAGATCCTGTGATTTGGGGCTCATTTTCCTGAGTCAGTCTTTTAGCTCTATGGCTTAAACAAGCAAGCAAGCAAAGGCTCTTTGCTAAGTTTTAACTATTTATTCAGCATTCTTTTTAAAATGATTGTCATATTTTGGTTAATAATATTCTCCAGCTTTGTTTTCTTTTCTTTGTCATTTTATATGAACTGTAGTCTAAAATGCAAGTTATAGTTTAAATAAAATAAAAGAAAGATGTTTACATACTTCGTTCAGGCCTCCAGGTCTTTGTTGATAGCGATTTACTTCCGTATACCTTCTATACGTATTACCTTGAAGCAAGCAACATCCACGGATTTACAAGAAGTACTGAGTTGACCTACAGAACACAACCTGGGATACCTCTAGGAAATCTGCATTTAAATCCAGTCTTTCCTGTTGGACCCTATTCTATTTCTTTTAACTGGACAGCCTTATCAAATGACACTGGTCCAATAGAGAAATACATTTTGACGTGCATTTCTTCATTTGAACATCGATCTTGTGGCCAGCATGAAAGCTTGGGGACTTCTATAACTGTCTGGAATTTAGTTCCATTTGAAAAATACAACTTTTATGTTCAAGCATGTACTAGTGGAGGCTGTTTGCTAAGCCAGCAACTGTCAATAGTTACTGCACAAGCACCTCCTGAGGAGCAGCTACCTCCAGTCATAAGGAATATTAGCTCTACTGAATTGGCTGTAGAATGGGTCCCACCCAGGAAAACCAATGGTAAGTTTTTGTGTTTGATTCAGCAATTTGGGGAGTACTGGATCTATATATTGTTGGGATTTTTTCCTGAAAATAGAATAAGTCCCTTGGATATATGAAGGCAATTGGTATAAAACTCAATGAGACTTGTTTCCTGTCTCCTCACCCCCATTTACTACTCATTCGTAGTCATATATAGAAAGGGGGGAACAGTTCATGGGTATAGCACACACTTTGCATGTAGTTGGTCTCCATAGCTCTAGATAGGGCTGGAGCAACCAACTTGAAATTGGTGCTAGCCAGTACTGGAATGGATAGACTTCTGAATTGACTCAGTATAATATCTCGTGTTCTTTTGATAGTGTGTCCCATATTACAGGCAAGATAACTTCTCCTCCCAAAGATCTGCTTAATTTCTGCTTAAGAGAATGTATACTTATGGCCTATAATTTTCAGGAGTAGAAACAAAACCCATGCAAATAATTGAGATAATTGGCACTAAGTAACCCAGACCAGAAATCAACTCTACAGGAAAGATTTGAAAGTGGTTGTAATAACAGAATCTTGCAAGTCTGGTTGTGCTGTACCTCCTCCTCTTTCTTATACTCCAATAAATTTGGGAGGCATGTTTCTGAGTCACTTCTGAACCTTATCTTGTTGCTCTAGATTTAAAAAAATGTTTCACCCCTTTTGTATAGGTAACAGTTCTTGCATATTTCCATCAATGTTTTCTCTCTTATTCTCTATAGAAGGTTTCTTCCCAGTGTTGACTCTTTGCAGGATTGAGTTTTTTCAACTGCTGCTTTCTAGAATTTATTTCCTATTATTAAATCATTCAATAGGAAGTGAAACTGTAAAGCAATTAAAAGTTAATTTCAACAGGCCTTCATATTCTGAAGAGCTATTTTGTCCTTCTCAGAGGTTGAAGAATATATAGGTTATGGTTATGATTGGCCTTAGTATAATTGGTATTGGCACACTTTCACCAAGGAACAACTATTCACACATGCATTTTGGGAGGATGAATTAGGCAATATACTTTAAGTCACACCAGTTTTAGCATTAGATAGTAATGATAAAAGTACAAATGAAAATATTTTCAGGGAAATATACAGTACTTGTTTTGTAAGCTGCCTACTTTCATTTCTAGGTGTAATTATTAGATATGAATTATATATGAAAGGAAGTGTACAATCCAATGGAAGTCATGTTTCCCCTGAGAACTGTGTTTTCCAAAGCAATGGATGGTTCAATCTTCATCCAGTGGAAGAATCTATACATGAGAAAGCTTTGACACCACCTGTAACTAGTACTGTCATCACTGATTTGGAGCCATTCACAGACTATGAGTTCCGTGTTTTATCAGCCAATATGGCTGGCAGCACATTTTCAAATTGGACATTGCAAAGAACAGCAGAGGCAGGTAATTATTGGAGTTTACATTAACCATGTAGATTAATATTTCAAAAATAGCTTTCAAAACTTTTTGCTTGTTTTTTTTTAAAGTTGGGTTTTAAATCTAAAATGTCATTTTTTAAGCTGATTTTTTTATTCTTTTAAGTTTTAAAAAAGTGATTAATGCCAGATAGTATGGTTTTGTCTTTCAATGGAAGCCATACATGCTCTGTAATAATATCAAAACTTGGTTTTACAATATAAGATTTAGAACAGGCAGATATTGATTGCTAATGACTTCATACTCCTGTCTTTACTTATTTTGGCTAATGATATTTAGCTGCTAAAAATGTTTACTCTGTTCATTTAAGTAAATCAAATAAACCTCTGAGAGACTTACCTAAATCCACTGATTTCTATTAAATTTATACTGAATATTAATTTATGAACATTTGCTAAGAGCTAGAATTTCTCAAAGCAGGAAAAAAAATTACCAAAGATACAAACAGATTCCACCACTTCTGCAAGAGAGCCATGAATTGTTTATGTCATTTTGGCCTTGATTTAAAATTGAGATTCTTCCTAGTTTCTACAAAGCTTTAGCTAAATTTGTGCCAGCTAAGGAAGGGAATCTGAATTGATAGGAAGAACTGAAAAACTAGTCTTAGTAATTCTACTACTTGGGTGTCTAAGTCTAAAACACTTTTTGGCTGGGCAAATTAAATAATGGCTTCGAGCCAAGGATTTCACTTTCATTTGCTTGTGAAGTTAAAACTTCCAGCAGATCTTTCTGAAGAGTGATATATATAAGAAGTCTTTCTAAAGCATTGCCAATCAATGGTGCTGTATAAATTCTAAAACATGGGATTATCTTTACAAAATTGGTGGTCATAAAATTAAACCACAGAGCAAGAGTGAGTGAGAGAGAGAGAGAGAGAAAGAGAGAGGGAGAAATATGCTTCTTAGTAATTAAATGTACTGTATTTTGTTGAATTACTCAGTCTTCCTTTTAATCAGGTTTTCCCAAGTCAAGATAAGCCTGTGCTTTACATGAAGTGGTGGTTTGCACCTTATAGGAAAAAAAGATGCAAGAGTTTGCGCATAAGGTGACAAATGTTTATTTTGAAGTTGTAGCTTTAAAAAAAAATGAAAATTTCTTTCAGACTTGAAAATTAATTTCTACAAGCTGCTTATTTAGGAATTGGATGCAAAGAGCCATTTTAACAGATGGTATTTTACAAATATAGTGGGAAAACGTGCCTGACACATGTTGTTCATTCATTTTATGATAAATTAGCACATTTATTTGTGTTTTAGCTCCTGTATTCATGCCACTTCCATCAGTATTCCCTCTTTCACCATATTCTCTGAATGTGTCTTGGGAAAAGCCACAAGATAATGAAGCAAGAGGAGAAGTGATGGGGTATAGCGTCAATGTAATTACCGAACAAAAAGTATTGCCAATGTTTTCTCAGGTATTATTGTTATTAGCAATCTGTTTTCTCTGCTTATTGATGTATGGCTCTTCTAAATTGGTCCCAATCTTTATGGTTATGCCAAATTGAAATTTGCCAATGGAGCAGTGCCTAGTTTTATTAAAATACAGTGAGGTATCAAAGTTGTTATGGCAAACTGCCCAAGGTGGATCTGACTATTTATTATTGCATTCTTGTCAAAGGGAAATAATGATTTTTGAAAGATTCTTCTGAAGTTAAGTTACCCTTTGTGAAGATAAATATGTGATTTTATTCTGAAAAGATATTCAACAAGCCCAATATGGATATACCATTTTCTACTTTTCTGGTTATGCCTAAACTACTATATATGGGCTGTTTTTCCCTTCCATGTTCCTTTTTTCAAATAATAATAATAGTAATA